TTATTATTTGGGTTACTGGGAGCACCAGGACACATTTTTAAAGTCCGAGCGTTCTGGACAATAGCAGAATCACACTTACTAATTTTGCATTCAGTTCTCTAGCCGTGCCTGTCCACTCCCCAAACTTCTTTCTTCTCCTGTTTTGAGCTTTGATTCCTCCGCCTACACCAAAACTGCAGTGTTCTAGTCCATTTCTAAAACCCCGCAGGAAATAATTAATGTAAGTGAAACATGAAAAGAGTCTTTTTATCCAAATGTTCATCCTTATCCCTAATGCTTTCACAAAAACTAACGTCGAAATGTTCCTAACTCGTGATGCTTTGCACAGCTACCGGTAATATAGTGCAAAGAGACTGAGAGAAGGAGCCGGTGACTTCGGGCTGTGAAATACTGGCTAGTGTGATGATGACTCCAGGAGGACTGGAAAAACAATGATATACAAACCTGTGTGTGTCTGTGGACATGTGCATTTTCAGAGGAGCGATCCATAGTTCTCCTCAGAGTTTCAGAAAGTTCTAAGACTGAGGATACAAGGCAAAGACTCATTTGATCAGAAGTGATGATATGTAAATAAGGGCACTTAATCATTTGTGTTGTGACAATGCCGACTCAGCTCTCATCAAGTTCTCCTTTAATTTCAATTCCTATTTCCTTCCTCTCTCTGATTTTCGTTCATCTGCTGTCATTCATGAGAGCTAGTCTAGAAGCCAAAAAGTTAGGAAATCGCCAGGCACCGAGATACTGCTGAATCATTCCTGACATGCAAGTAATGATGGAGGATGACAGGAATGCTGCATGTAGGAGGGGCTGTGTTATCCCTGCTCTTCTTTATCTCCCTCAGTCCCTCAGTAATTCAGGAGACCTGTGGAGGATCCTGCATGCCCTTCTCCTTACCTCCACACTGCCCTCTACTCCCTGAAAAATGCTTTGTCACTACAGATATTGTGCTTCAGCTGCAGGCAACAGACAACCATCTTGTAAATCCATAACCCATCCCACTCATAGTGCTCAGATCAGATGGGACACTGAAGTAATAAGATAGTGGCATTTTGGAAAATGCACGTGAACATAAACTTGCACATTCACATGAAATTCTTCCTTCACAGCACTCGCCTGAGGATGACTCATTGCTCAAAACCTTTGTAGAACATTTTCATGTCTGGTTTAGTCTCAGTAGTAGGAAGCAAAGGTTCTCAGTGATGGCTGCAGTTTGGGAACCTGGGGAGATTGAAAAATTACTGATGTCAATATTCAGACATGAAGATTCTGATTTAATTCGGCTAAAGTAATGGTTCTTACTCTGGGCCATTTATCAGAATCACCTGTGGATATTTTTAAAGATATACATACCTATTCCCTAACTCCAGACAACTGAAGATGAATGTCTGGGGGTGAGAGCTACACAATTATATTTCTGAAACTCCTTAGGTTATTCAAATATACAAAAAAGGGTTTGAGATTCACTATTCTACATTCACATTTCATCGTTGGACCAAAATATTAATAGCCTGCTCTTTTCAATAGAATGACTCTACATGGAGGTTGGTTTTTTCCAAATACTGAAACTACCTCTCAGAATTTTTAAAAAATTTGTCTCAAATCCTAGTAATATAGTAAAAAGAAAAAGGTGGTCTTATTGTGAATCCATTTATAGTCCTCCTAGGTGATTTCTTTTGAGGGGCCAATATTCCATGGATTATAAATAGATATTCCTGATCAATATGCTCTGTTCTCAGGCCTTCAAAATTACCTAAATTCATGCATGCCACCAAAATATATGGTTTCTTCCATAAAATATACAAGTGTATGAGTGAACAACCACAAAGCCACATGAAAAAGTATCTACAGGACAGTTCATCCAGAATTTCTCACTAGCAAAAAATAATAGCTAATATTTATTGAATGGTTACTATGTACTTAAGGTTTTCTGAGAACTTTATATGTATTATGATATTTATTCTCACAACTGCTTTCTGGGATAGTATTATTATTCCCAAATTACAGACTGGGGAAATAAGGCTTAGAGAATTTAAGTGATACTTCTGCTTGTCATTCTCGTAGAACTTTGATGCCTAAGTAAAATTATAAATCACTAAATGGCATTAACATTAAGGATAAAACAAAATAGTCAAAATTATGACCTGTATGCCTATAAATGCCAAGATTTTACTGCTTGCATTCTTGTGAATATGTTAAAATACTAGTTTGTTAACTATTTTTTGTAGCATGTAAATCCATTGCCTTCCAAACCTTAAGCCTCATGCTGAGGACTTTTCTTCTCAAAGTATATTGTTTTCTTAGTGGGCTGGTAGAGGACACTTAAGAAGGGATTCAAAGGAAACAGACAGGGACTCAAAATTTCTACAGAAATTTCACATTTAAAGAAATACTCTCTCTCTCTCTCTCTCTCTCTCTCTCTCTCTCTCTCTCTCTCTCTCTCACTGTGGAGTGATAGAATTCATTGTTCAATGATTTATCAATATTATATTATTACAGTTGAAACCATATTGACTGGAAAAAGTGTATTCACTCAAATCACAAAGACTCTGTTGTAAACAGAATAATGCCCCCCACCCCCTAAGATGTCCATGTCCTAATAATACCTAGTATCAATGAATATGTGCTTTCATAGCTAAAGAGACTTTGTAGCTATAACAGTTATGGACTGTGAGACGGCAAATTATCCTGAATTATATGACTGGGCTCAATCTAATCACATGAGTCATTAAAGATAAAAGAAGAGGCAGAAGAGGGAGTCTGACACATGTGGCTTGAATAAGGTATTACTTGCCTTTGTTGATTTTAAAAATGGAGGAAGAGGTCTTGAGCCAAGGAATGTGGGTGGTTTCTAGAAGCTGGTAAAGGCAAGGAAATAATTTTCTCCCAAAGCCTCCAGAGCACAGCCCTGCCAACACCTTGATTTTAGTCCAGTTAGACCTGTGTTGTACTTGTGATCTACTACACAATAATAAATTTGTGCCATTTTAAGCCATTAAATTTGTGGTAATTTATTACAGCAGCAATAAAAAACTAATACAGACACAATTTTAGATTTGCCATGAAATTGCCTTTAATTGCTAAAGAAGTCTTCATATCACAATGCCTTGAACTCTGAAAGGAGATAATATAACATTTTTCAGGAATAAATATATCCCTTTGTTAGTTCTGGTCTTTAAAATTATATGCTATTCTTTATTTTAAAGTGTTATCAATAGTAATGTCTGCAGTTACAGTGTCATTTGTTTAAGTTTAGTCACTACTTAAATTCCATTCTTATTGTCATTTCAACAGTTAATTGAATAAATGTTTACTGAGTATTTGCACTAGCAAGGCATCTCCATTAGGTATAAATGATTCTTACCTGTAATTAAGTATTGTGTAAAACAATGTTTTTGATCCCAAATAGGAGAAACAAGCCATTTTCTTGAACTTTTTAAAGTTTTACCTATGTAGCTAGGACGGTTGCATGTTTATTCATTTCTTAATTTCAAATCTTTATTTAAAATGAGCATGTATGGAGTTGTAGAAGAGGGTTAAGGTCAAATATATGGTGATGGAAGGAGAACTGACTCTGGGTGGTGAACACAATGCAATGTATAGATGATGTATTATAGAAATGTACACTTGAAAGCTATATAATTTTACTAACCAATGTTACCCCAATAAATTTAATTTTGAAAAATGATCATGTGCACAATGAATAAAGTAAACTTATTTTATAACTGATAAATTCCAGAAAATTATAAAAATACAACAAGAGTTTTGAAGTAAAAATTAAATAAAATTTATCTTGACCACTGTTGAATATTAGTATGGCAAATGATGTGTAAAAAATAGGGTGAAGAAGATGGGGTAATAGATAGGGGCATGACTGGTTGTGTTGATGTTGGGTAATGAGTTCTTTGGGGCTTATAATATTCTATCTGCTTTTGTGTAGGCATGAAGTTCTCCCCATTATGAAGTTTGTTTAAAAAATACTGCACAATAAAAAGGGGGACCATATATTTTTTTATTTAATGCCAATTTAAAGTAAAGTTGGGAGCAACTAATTTTTTTTTCCCCTGTGCTTTGATTCTTACATCTGTACTCTTCTTTTTATTCTACCTGTCCCAGCCACCCTAGTACAGACATTCATTACTTGGTCCCTGGATTCCTGCAATCAACTCTTACCTAATACCCTGCACTTCAACATCTCCCCAAATTTATACCTTTTACCACTGTCATACTATTCTTTATGCCAGTCCAATATGCAAAAAAATTTAAGGACCTTCTGTAGGTAAATTCCTTTGTCCTACTTTTAAAGTTTTCCATTCTTTGACCCCAACTATTTATTTAACTTCTCTCTAATACAAAAAATGCTTGAAAGTCCAGTCTCTCATTCTTCTAAAGATGCCATGTTCAGAATTTTTGTACTTCTCCTTTCTATGTACAAGTATTTCAATTCTACTAATAATTTTTTTTTTTTTTTTTAGCTGAGCCATCTTGTCACCTGTTGGCAGCTCAGCAGCAGCTCAGTTTGGGCCGGGACTTGAACCGCTGTTGCTCAGAGCTCGCACTCTTGAGCGAGCTCTTAACCAACTGAGCCACTTGGCCGGCCCCTCTACCAATAATTTTAAATTCATTCATTACCTTCGATATTGAAATAAATGGATTATAAAAGATATATAAGTATATATTTTAATCTTAAAAATACACTTGTAATATACATATTTTTCATCTTAATAGGCAATTACTTAGTTGGATGCGCTGAAGAGATTCGATTTCCCAGGAAATGATCACTTGAATATTCAATTAAATAGAAGAACTAATGGAGTTCTTTGCTCCCTCAAGCCTAGTTTTTGTCATTAGGTCTAAAGCAAATGATAAATTCTACATTTTGAGGTGTTGCTTAGAGGTAATGGTTTGCTTTTTGGTTGGTTTCAAAGTATCTCTAAGAATAAACAACCAGATAATAAAGATGATGAAAAATACAAGATGGATGTTCTTTCTTTCTCTTACAGTTGGAATTCAGTGCCTTCTGGAGATGCCTTTGCCTGCTGAGGATGAAAGCTGCCTACAAAGTGGTGAGCCAGGGGCCTTTGCCTCTGTAAAATGTTTTCCATAAAGCCTTGCCTGGGTTAACCTCAAAGGAATGCTGTTTGCCTGGGGCCAAAACCTCTCCAGCACATCCATGAAAATCAGCAATGGAGCTCAGGGTACAATTTCAATCTTCAGAGCCATACAAGCGCCCCTTGATAAGATAAACATCTTCAGTCCAGGGCATCATGAGATTAAGGTTAACATTGGGTTTCTGTTTAAAACATGTAATAACATTGTCTAATAAAGGGTCTCATTTAAAAATTTTGCTTCACCCAGAATATTTCTACCCTAAAAACACTAAATATTATACTTCTTTCATTTCTACTGGATTGAATTAGCTTCCTGCATATAGACTTTATCACTCTTTTTTGCTTTTCTTGAGGGCTTGGCTTCTCAAATATACAAAGATCTAGCAAAATTTGTGAACAACCTTAGAATCTATGTGTGAGCAGGCTGCATTGAAAACCTGCGTAGTCCTGGAGTGACTTCTACATGTAATTTAATGAGCCCGTCTCCTTCACCTCTCTTTTGTTTGTAAGCCTCTCTCTTTACGCCCTTGACACCACTCTTCTTGTTCTCCTCCTCCTCTAACTTCTCAGTCCACCCATTTTTGTTGATTTTTTAAAAATACAGCTCTTGACATGTGCCCAACAAACTCTCTCACTCTATTCACTTTCAATTATGTTTCCATTTCGTTCAGAGATCAGCACCCCGTTTTCTCTCAACCAGCTCCCTGCTGGTTTCGTTCCCTGCAGTGTTCCACCTGGGCACCTCTGAGATACTCTCTCATACTCAACTCATTTCTCAAAATATCAAATCTTGATAGTGAGGACGTGGAGCAGCAAGAATGCTCATTCATTGTTGCTGGGAATGCAAAATGGTACAACTATTTTGAAAGACGGTTTGGCAATTTCTGACAAAATTAACATTTTCTTACCATGTGATCTCTCAATCACTCTCTTTGGTATTTACCCAAATGAGTTGAAAACTTACACCCACACAAAAGCATATAGCAGATTTATTCATAATTGCTGAAACATAGAAGCACCAAGATGTCCTTTGATAGGTGAACGGATAAACAAACTGCTACAATGGTTATATTTTTTTCCCAAGCCGGTGAAAGAGGAATAGGAAGGAAGATTTTTTTTTTCACTTTATTATTTTTTAAAATTATTTTTTAATTTTATTAAGTTTATTAGGGAGACCTTGATTAATAAAATTACATAGGTTTCATGTGTATCATTCTATAATACATCATCTGTATATTTTATTGTATATTCACCAACCAACATCAAATGGATACATTATTTAGTGATAAAAAGAAATGAATTATCAAACCTGAGAAAAAAAAGGAGGAGCTTTAAATACATTGTCGCTAACTGCAAGAAGCTAGCATGAAAAGGCTATGATTCCATCCATAAAGTCTTCTGGAATAGGTGAAAGTATGGAGACAGTAAAAAGATCAGAGGTTACCAGTGGTTGGAGGGAGAGGGATGAATACATGTAGCAACAGAGGATTTTTAAGGCAGGAAACTACTCCGTATGATACTTATTGTTATACATTTGTCAAAAACCATAGAATGTACACCAAAAGTGACTCCTAATGTAAACTTTGGAATTTGCTTATAATGATGTGTCAATGTAGGGTCATCGATTTTAAGAATGTACCACTCTGGTAGGACATGTTGATGGCAGGGAAGGCAGTGTGGAGTGGACAGTATGTGGGCACTTTTAGCTCAATTTTGCTGCAAACCTGAAACTGCTCTAAAAATAGTCTAAATTTTTTTTGAAAAGTTAAATCAACTCTGAATCAATGTAGTGGAGGCCTCTTAGCATTGCTGGAAAACCAGAAAAGCCAAGCCAGTGGTGCCTCTAAACACTCATCATCTTCATCTGCTGGGCACCCAGTGCAGGTTTGCAAGCCCCTCATGGAATCATGTTCACTTTCATCTCCCCACCTATGCAAAACTTTGACTCCTCTTAAAATTTCCTACATAACCATATCCTCTTTCGCACATAAAATGGTACTCCCTGAGAAAATGAAAATCAATAGGTAAGATCTTGTCAACTTCCTTTCTCAGGAGTAACCCTTAAATGTATTGACATCTGTTCCCACTCCACCCGCCCCCATTCCTTCTGTCTGCATGGAAGAGGGGTCCCTCCTTCCATTCAAGGTTAACCTCTCCATTGTACTTTAGATTCCTTTTGCCTTTACCTCCAGTGGTCCCACTCTATCTCGCCTATGTATTATTCTACTGTGTCCTTAATCTTCCCCTCTTCCAACTGGCTTTCCCTCCCAGAATAAACATGCTCAAGTCTTTCCCATCTTAAAGGAAGTTTTCCTTTGATCTCATCACTCTTGCATGTATTGGCAAGCTACAACACAGTTTGGTTGTAGTGGTCAAAACATTTTAATGGCAAATGAAAGAAAAACTCAGCTTGAGCTGACTTAGATGAAAAGGGGAATTTATTTACTCCTACAACCCAAGGAAGTGGTGAACTACCAAAGTGTGAGAAAGGTGGGGATTCAGCCAAGAATCAGGAACCATTAGGGACTCCATTGTTGCCTGGATTCCCTCTCCATCTTAGCTCAACATCAACCTGCATTTGACTTTATTTTCTCTTAATCAGTTGAGCTGTCTTCATATGTTAAGAAACGGAGGTTCCTGAATTTTACGACATGCAGCTTCTATCATCAGGGAGGGACTAACCTTTGTTCTCTGAATCTCACATTAAAACCCCTAGAAAAAGGGAGAGTGAAGGAAGGAAGACTGTAGGAAGAGTCTCAGACTTCAGTGCAGCTCTGAGAACGTCTTGGCCAGCCCAGTCGGGAACTCCATCGCAGACTCCCATGCAACAGCTTCATTGCAAAGAATACTACAGAGAGCTTCATGTTGGGCAGTGGTCAGGCCCCTCTCTTCCTTCAGGGTTTACTAATTTTGGGGCCTGTCCAGAAAGAGTGTAGCATCAACTCAAACGTTGTTAACAGATCCTAAAGTTGCTGCAATTGGAGGCTGTCACCTAAAGGCCCTCCTTGTTTCAGGTTTTCTCTTGAAAAGAAATCTAAGTGACACACCTGTAGGGCAGCATACCCTGTCATATCACATACTGCATAATATTGTCACTTATTGTTTGTCTTTCCTCCTCCATTAAGTGCCTTAAAAATAAACAGAATTCTAAAAAGCAAGTGATAAACTGAAAAGTATTTATTAATTTAGTTTAGCTTGTTGATTTTTCACATATATAGACATTATCTTATTTATCTTTGCATCTCCAGATAGATGCTACATGTTTGCTAAGTAAATGAGTGAATTAATAGATCCAGTGAAGAGCAGTGTGGTAATCTCCATGTTTTGACTCTAAAAGTATATTTTTTAGCTTTGGGAAAACACTATAAATGATTTAAAAAGGCATATTTTCTTCTCTTACTCCCACTTGTATTAACTTCATCTCACCAACTATTTGGCTGTGAGTTTTTTAGCAGTAAAATGTAGAGACATGACTGCCACATGTCCTGAGCTTGAATAAAAGAAACCTGCACATTAATATTTTTATAATAAACATATCAAGCTCATGTAGACAGGGGCACAAAAGCTATTCTAAACCTTCATTTCAATTTTCTATACATTTGACAGTCTTAAGAAGCTCCCATTTCCCTGAGAGTGTAGAAGCCATGTATCAGGTGTGAACTCCCTCAGATTCCCTCATTATTCATCATTTAAAAACTCCTTTAAAATCACTAATATATAAAGGTGCAGAGAATGGCAGAAGCAGCAGGTTTTGAGCACCTTACCGTGTGCCAAGCACTGCACTGTGCGTTTATTCTCAAGCTCCAGTGTGGACATGGGCCTCAGGGGTGGATGTCAGTATGAATGCCAAGTTAAATCCTATTTTTAGAGCAGAGATTTGAAGCCAAATTTCTTTGACTCCCAAACCCAAACATGTTATTCCCACAACACCATTGATTCTAGCATTAAAGAATCTTATTTAAGCCCAAAGAAACCAGTTCAATTGAAACAAAATCTCTCTTCTCCCTTTCTAGAAGATTTTTGTCTAGCACATCAGACACTTTGGGGAGAAATAGATTGGTTGATCCCTGAAAGCAAAATTGTTTGAATGTGACTTGCAAGACACCATTAAGGAGTTTTGTTAAGGCTTAGGTGTTTTTAGGACAAAAGCAGCTAAGTTCTCTCTCACGTCCTGTACCCGCTCTGTTCTAATTGATATTAAGAAAGTAAGAAGCTCACCTAATATATTTGACTGAGATATGTTTTTAAAGTTTTATAGAGCTAACAATGAATTTGATTTATCTTAAAAGTTTTGAGGTGGTCAACAATTGGACATACAATAAAAACCAACTGCTTTATTCTTAGGTGAATGCAAACACAATATTAAATCAATACAATTGCCGTTATTGTTATTATACCTTATATGTGTTCCTTAAAATAAAGGGCTCAAATACATCCCTAGTTTAAATACACATGCTTTAATTTGTTACACTCAGGGTTGTGAGCAATGTTGACTTTAATAAAATGCCTTGTATTTAGAAAACATTATTTAATTATATTCAGGCTGTTTAAGAATAGCCTTACATTGCATTCTCCATCCTGTATCCCCATAGGAACTTGTTTGATTTTTTTTCCCTCAAGTAAACGCTTGCTTTAAAGAATAATTTCTCACCCTTGCAAGTGTGGAAATAAATCATTTGTATAAACTTAAAACTGACTAGTGTGGTCCTTATGAAAAGAACAATGGCAATTCAACAATGGAAGTAAGGGTGGGAGAACCAACTGTTATAAATACATCACTAGTAACGTCAGCGTATTTCCCTTGTCTTCCCCATGACTGTCTCTGGGGATATAGAAACTCTGTTACATGCTAACTTGAATTCCTGTCATTGTGCTCTACACATCATTGTCTCTTGTCTCAGGCTTCAGGCCTATGGCTGAGGTTATCATCTACTCTGTCACACCCAGTCACTGAC